CTCTTCCTCTCCATCTTTGTCCAACAGGAGGCAGGCTATGCAACCCTAGCACTTCATTTTAATGACATTACACTCACTTCTATCTTAGGAGAATCAATAACACTTTACAGTGGGTTCGGCTAGAGCTTGGTTAATATTTAGCCCTGCTTTCGGACATAGCCCAGATACGAACAGCCACAGACAGCTGTAGGAGAGGGAGCAGCTCACACGCTAGCATTCAGCCCCTCTGAGTGCAGTAAGGGGTGGGCAGGCATTGGAATGGCTACGGGGAAGTCTTTGAGAAAGTATTCTCTGCCCAGTGATTGCTGAATCGAATAGGTAAAGACAGCTACAAAAGTTTGTCCTCTGTAAGTAGAATTCCATCCCTACATAGCTGCTAGAAAAAGAAAAGAAAAACAAAAGAAAACAAAAACAGCAAAGGGGGCGGTGGTGGCGTACGCCTTTAATCCAAGCACTTAGGAGGCAGAGGCAGGCGGATCTCAGTGAGTTTAAGGCTAGCTAGGTCTAAAAAGTCATTTCCAGGACAGTCATGAAGATTTGCTTTGCTGGAGCATTTGCTGGGGAATTTGGTGTTTGGAAGCTGGCAAAAATGTGGCTAAGACAAGTGATTGATTCCAAGTCATCACTGCTAAGCTCAACCGCTGGGCCTGTCAGTGCTTGTTATTCCCGAGAGGGTGCACACTTCAGAAAGCCTAATTGCTTTCCAACCACACACCCCAACCGCTTGGCTCCTCCTGCCACATTTTCCTCAACAAGGCAGAAAAGCTTCACTTTCACCAAACGGTCACCTTTGGAGCTGCTTGGGGAGGGGGCATGGATCTCAGCCGCCATTGTCTTCTCGAACACCGCAAGCTTGTACTGAACACCGCTAGAGAAACCGGGGCCACCGAATGGTCCAATCCTCATAAGCAAGCAGGCTCTTGTCTGCCAGTCCACATTGTCCCTTCCGCCTGTCATTTCACCCTCCACTGTCCTCCTCACATCAGCTGAGTATGTTCTAAGCTAAGGCACAAACCTCACGCAGAGCAACTCCACGGCCAAGACTGCTCAGTGTCTGATACTGAAACTAAAGCTCAGGTCATTGAGCAGCCCCCCACCCCTGTCGTGGTGTTGCCCAGTGCGGCTCCTTCTAAGTCTTCGAAGGTTTCATCAGCCCTTAGCAAGCCCCTGCTAATACGAGGCAAGGAGTAGTCTGCAAAACCCACCAGACCACCAGGGATCACAAAGTCAATCTGATGCATTAATTTAAAAAACAGTTTATTTTACTTTAAATTATGTTCACGTGTGTGCATTTGTGTGCACCTGCGTGCAGGCGTTCACAGAAGCCAGAAGAGGGCATCAGATCCATGGAGCTGGAGTCCTGGTGATTGTGAGCATGGGTCCTAGGATATTATTGTGCAAGAGTAGCAAGCGCTTGTAACTGCTGAGCTGTCTCTCTGGCCCCAGTGTATTACTTTTTATTGTCTCAGCCCCAGCATCCAGAGGATTTATCTTCATGATGTTGAGTTGAAGTTAAGAGTGACTTTGTGAGCCAAAATTGTGTCAACATTTTTTGGTTCCTCTTTTGGATAAAAGAAATCCAGAGAACAGATTTGTTTGTTTGTTTTTTTTCTTCTTCTTCTTCTTTTTGCTTTTTGAGACAGGGTTTCTCTGGGTAACAGTTCTAGCTGTCTTGGAACTTCTTTTGTAGACCAGACTGTCTTCAAACTCACTGAGATCTGTCTACCTCTGCCTCCCAAGTGCTGGGATTAAAGGCGTGTGTCACCACCGCCTGGCGAGAACAAGTCATCTTCAAAAATAAGATGCTTCAGGGGCTAGAGAGATGGCTCAGGGGTTAACATCCCTGGCTGTTCTTACAGAGGACCCGGGTTTGATTCCCAGGACCCACATTGTTACAACCATCTGCAACTCCACTCACAGGGAATCCAGTCCCCTTTTCTGGCTTCCGCAGGCACCAGATATACACGTGGTACACAGTCATACATGCAAGCAAAACACTCATACATATAAAATAATAAATATATTTTAAATTTTAATTCAAATATAAATATAGGTGCTTTAACTGGTGAGACATACATTTCCATATCATGGAACCTGACTGCCTATCTGTATGAAATTAAGCATCAGTCTTGTATGTGTGTATGTGTGATGTGTGTGTTGTGTGTTACATGTGTGTGTATGTGTGTGTTATGTGTGTTATGTGTATGTGAGTGTGTGCTTTGTGTGTTGAGTATGTGTGTTATAGGTGTTGTGTATGTGTGTGTGGTAGTGGTGTGTGTATATGTTGTGTATGTGTGTTCATGTATACAAATGCACATGGCTTGGCAGCGTGTGTGTGTGTGTGTGTGTGTGTGTGTGTGTGTGTGTGTGTGTGTCTCAGGACAGCCTCGAGTGTCAAGCCCTAGGCACATCTACTTTTTGTTTGAGATAGGGTCTCATTGGCCTGAACCTTTACCATGTAGGCCAGGCTGGTTGGTTTAACACACTTCCGGAGGTCTGTCTCTCTCCACCTCCCATCTTGCCATCGCTGGAATCACAAGCACATAGCACTGCACTTGACTTTTCGTGTGGGTTCTGGAGATTGAACTCAGGTCCTCAAACTCGTGAGGCAAGCATTTTCCTGGCTGAGCCACCTCCCAGCCCTGTACGATGCATGCTAAAGTCCCCTTCTTCCTGCCTTCAAATGACTGTCCTGCTGCCGAGTACCCCAGACACTGCTTAGACATTCCACCTTGAGGTTCTTGGTGGCTGCTTGGGGTCAAAGCCTTGTTGGAGGCAATCTCTCAAGCTATGGGGACCTGAACACTATAGAGGTTACTTTGACCTAGCTTCCTGAAATGATTGTCATTGGTTTTGGGTTTCTTAGAGAGCTTTCCCTACATGAAAAAAAAGGGCATTTATTCAAGATAAATATTTCCAATTGTAATGATAAAGTTGTATCTATACTGTTTCTTTCCAATTTTTCCTTTTTGTATTAAAAAGAAAAAAAGCAGTGACTCACTGTCTGTTCTGGCTGCCAAGAAACCAGCCTAAAGAACTTGTAGCTAACTTTGCCTTTGGTAACAATCTGGGATTTTTCTGTATATGTTTGTCTTTTTGCAACAACTGTCCCCTGTAGTCTTGTTTTATGATTGCACTTTTCTTTTCAGGTGGATTTATTTGTCCATCATAAATCTCACTGAATGTATCTTTCTAAGCCATAGCCAGTAGTTTTTCAGAGCCAGATGGTATGAGTGACGTAGCCTGAGAATTAATACAGCCTACTAAGAAAGGCAGGCTAGCCACAGGTCAGGTAGTTAGCCATTCTGACCACTAAGTAGTCCTTGCTTAGGGAGTCAGAAGAAGAAAGCACATTTTACAATACAGTTGAAGCCTACATGTGGGATGCTAAGAGTGATGCTTCCAGGACCCGGAGTGCAGTGTCTCCCACACACCGGCACTTGTATTTCTTCATATCGTAGACGTGTGACCAACCAAGGGGATGAGGGCGAAATCTTTTCTTGTCATTTGTACACAAACCCATCTACAGCTGGAGACAAAATACCACTGGCAGTGTGAAGCATAGCTTGAAGAGGGCCTATCATTACACGTATGACACTCCATGTGTGAGCAGCTGATGAAGGAGGTGATCCAGCCATCCCTGTGAAGGACTTTGCCCTGCACACACACACCTATATACTCCATTAGCTGGTCTTGATTGAAAGTTTCATAAACACTGTTTCTGAGTCTTCAGCATTGTGATTTTCATGATGCCCAGCTTTGTGTAAAGTTCTCTAAAAAAACATCTTTGAGAGCTAGGGAGATGGCTTCATGGGTAAAGGTGTTTGTTGGTAAAGCCCTGGTGGCCTGAGATTGGTCCCCATTACCCTCAGAAAGGTGGAAGTCAAGAACCAGCTCCACAGAGTTGTCCACAGACATCCACACATGTGCCATGACAAGCATGCCCCCTTCCCACTAATAAGAAAGACACAACCACTCCTTTGAGAGCCGGGGAGGTGGCTCGTTCAGGTAGCAATGTGCTGCCCAAGTGTGAGGCCTGAGTCTGGACTCCAGAGCGCATGTAAAGGTTGTGCGGGCGCGCAGCCCATCTGGAATAACAGTGCTCCAGGGGTGGAGATGGGATCCCCTAGGCAAGCAGACTGACTCCCTTGACTGGAAGCTTCACCTTCAGCAAGAGACCTTGCCTAGTAAAACAAAGTAGAACAGGATGTAGGAGGAGACAGCAACGTCAACTGCTAACCTACCCACACACATATGCGTGTGCACACACATGCACACACACACACACAAACACACGTATACATGTGCACGCACACACAGACACGGGCATAAATAAACACATACACACCACATATACATAGACAGGAAGGAAGAACAACCTCCCCCAAAACCAAGAACAACAACAAAACCCCAAAACACCTTTGAGGAGCTGTTTTCTGTCATTAAGACAGAAAAGAATTTCATGGTTTCTCTTCAAGGTATAATTTGACTTCATTTTTCTTCTCCTCATTAGTGTGTGTGTGTGTGTGTGTGTGTGTGTGTGTGTGTTGAGGAATAAATTGTTTGTCCACAAGAATTCAGTCTGTTTTTTTGCCTTTCAGGTCACTGACCCCAGCCCTTCCCCAGTGTCTCCCTAAGTAAAACTAAAGCAATTTGAGGAGAGAAAAATACAATCTGATAACAAAGCATGCTTTGTCTTGATAAACAGTGATCGATGACCACAACCCTTGAAGTCCTTTTGGGTAAATGAGTAACCGGTTGTATCTGAGAGGCAAACTCGTGTTTATATTCTGACTCTCACAGTTTGTTCCCCTCTATTTCACACTGACCTAACTCGTTTGAAATTGAGGAAACAACTGTCCAGGCTCAGGGGCAGCGCCTGTGAGCTAAGAAGCTTATATGGTTTAGGGGCCCTCTAGGAAGAAGAGTACAAAAACACCTTCCTTTCACCTTTTTTTTCCTTTTTTACAAAAACATACTGTCATGTGGACATACCGCTCATACTCCTCCTGGGTCCGGGAAAGGCCCATGCAAGAGAGTCGCCGGAAGCTCAAACTCGATTGGTTTTGTCATGGCGGGTCCATTTCTTCAGGTTCAATGTTGCAGTAAATGTTTACCTATACTAGACACACACGAACTAGCTACTTCAGTTTATAAACACAGGACATGTATGCACTAGCTCCGAAGAGACTAGGTAGGAATATACAAATGTAAATATCAGATCACAAGATTATGTAGTGTATAAGCAACATACACGGGAGTTTGGTTTAGTTTTTTTGGATTTCTCCTGGGCGGCGGCTCTCCTCAAGGTCACACCCAGGCAATGATGTCCTCTTCTCCAGACTTTGAATTGTCTGCCTGCACGAGAATGTTCACTTTAAGGGAGACGTAATCAGTGGCCTCTACTCTCAGACAAGCAGACTCAAATCCTGTCCTCTGAACTGGGCTCATGTAGAACAAGCCAGCTATGATGGGTGGGGAGCAGGAAGCAGGTGAGTGGGAAGCCCACTGCCAGGAGGCAGGCGTGGCTTGTGCGTGTGTGCATGTCATATTTCCGGGTATCTCAGATACTGGTTTGGAGGTCTCCGTTGAGGAGGGTCCTCTGGGTCTCCGTGGTCTCATTCAGCCGGGATTTGTCCTGCTTACTGTCGCTCCGTTCCCCATCATCTGTACCACTCACCTTGACCAAGCAGAGAACATTCTGGAAGCTCTTCTTGAAGTTGTCAGATAAGAAGGCGTATAGGATAGGGTTGGCACAGCTGTTGGCGTAGGTGAGGATCACCACAAAGTCAAACATGCCTTTCAAGGCCGGGGTGGGACTGATGGCCACGGACACAGATGAGACATTGAAGATGTAGAAAGGCAGCCAGCAAAAGATGAAGACAGCCACCACTATGGACACCATTCGGGTGACCTTTTTCTCTGACTTTTTCCTCTTGGACGATCCCACTCGGATTCCAGAGGACTTCACCTTGATGATGATAAACAGGTAGCAAAGACAAATGATGGTGAGGGGTACCAGGAAACCCAGGATGAAGGCATAGATAATGAACCCTGTGTACCATGCCCCAGATTCACCTGGCCAGTTGATGGTACAGCTGCTCCTCCCCCACTGGTTGCTCCGGAGGCCAGCGTATATCATGATGGGCAAAATGACCAGCAGAGAGACACCCCACACAGCCACATTGATCATCTTGGCTGTCCGGGGTCGCCTCCACTTGGCTGACTTGATAGGGTGGACCACAGCTAGATAACGGTCAATACTCATGACGGTCAAGCAGAAGATACTGGTGAACTGATTGATGCCATCTACAGTCATGACTACCCTGCAGATGGCCTTGCCAAAAGGCCAGTGGACCAGTGCCACCTGCATGGCCAAGAAGGGCAGCCCCAGCATGAAGAGTTCATCTGCAATGGCCAGGTTGAGAATGTAAATGTTGGTGATGGTTTTCATCTTGGCATAGCGCAGGATGACATAAATGACAAGTGTGTTGCCACACAGCCCGACAACGCACACCACGAAGTAGATGAACGTGAGGACTGCATTGCTTGTCATGTCATAGTACGGCTCTGTCTGGTTGGAGCCATTGCTCGGCCCCAGTGAGCCATTGATGTCAAATGGAGAGGGCATCCATATTTGGCTCCCATTGAATTGCTCAGTTGCCACCTCCATGGCTGCTTTTCAGTCAGTTTTAGAACCAAGCAGCCCAGAGATCTTCCTCTCACTTCAGTGGGATCTGGGGGCCAAGAATCTACAGTGACATCTGGGAAGAAAAAAAGAAAAGTAACCACCAGACCCAAGCTTTTTAGACTCCTTCTGTCTTCCAATTTTCTGATTTACCTTTTTTGGTTGTTTGTTTTGTTTTGTTTTTCGAGAAAGGGTTTCTCTCTGTAGCTTTGGAGCCTGTCCTGGCACTCGCTCTGGAGACCAGGCTGGCCTCGAACTCACAGAGATCCACCTGCCTCTGCCTCCCGAGTGCTGGGATTAAAGGCGTGTCTTATTTAGACATTTTCCTATCACTCTCTCTTTCTCTTGTGTATTCATGTGTGTGCAGCTGTGTGTGTGTGTGTGTGTGTGTGTGTGTGTGTGTGTGTCTGTCCCCGCTTTTGGAGACAGGTTAGCCTGGAACTCACTATGTTCACAGCACTCCCCGCCTCAGCCTCCCGCGCTTGGGGTTACAGATGTGAGCTACCATGCCTCGCTCTCTTAGATATATTTTTCAATTGAAAAGCAAGTTTCCTTTTTTTTTTTTTTCATCTAGCTGCCTGCAGTCTTTTGGAGGTCTTTGAAATGATGGGGGAAGGGTTTGAGTTAAACTGTCATCTTTGATGACGCACGTGTGGCTGATGGCTGTAGCTTCAAACACAGACTTTGACCCCTAAGGAATTGACTGGTCCAGAACTATAAAAAGTTAGATCTTGGAGGGTTTCAGTCCCGGACCCTGGAAGGGTCTGACACCAGCAGTCTGAATCCCATGAGGAATTCCATGCTGCCTTGATGTCTGCTTGGGAGAGTTTCCATTCAGAGACCCCTATGGTGGGAAAACCCAAGAATTTAAAAGAAGAATAAATCTGGGCTCCATGGTTGAGCCCCATGTGATCTCATGCCCAGCCCTTAATTGCTGGGACTCTCCTTTGTCAACATGGGGGAGGGTAGGGGTGAGGTGTCATGAAGGTTAAACAAGAGAAGGTATATGCAAATGCCTAGCATTGTGCAGGCTCATATCAGAGCCTCCTAAATGACCCACCCCACACTGTTTCATTATCTCTAATTTATTGAAACTAGCCTACACAGTGAATCAAGTTATAGTCATCAATATTAAGAGTCTGGCTTTCTTTCTCTTTTTTAAATGTGTGCTTTAGGCTGTTTTTCTTCTTGGCTTTTGTTTTTCCAATATTCAGTGCCCTCCATTCCCCACCCCACCCCTGATTAGGAAAGCCCTTTCCTAACCCCTCCCCCCAATGGGTGGCCTTTTGCTGCAGTTCACAAATTAGGGCAAAAGCAGAAGCAAGGTGATGGATGCAGGCTCTTCATGAATGTCAAAAGAGGCTTTTAAAAGCTGGTGGCATTCATCCACACCTGTTGTCCCCTTTCTAACCATGTGGGAGTTGAGGATACTGTCCTTCTCCACTTAAAGATGTGGAAACTGAGGCTTAGAGTGTGAAAATCCTTGGTGGAGTGGGTACTTGAACATGAGCCACCTGGGCCTAAGTCTTCTGTGATTTTCACCATGTCCTGGCTGATGCTCAGTGGATGGAAACTAGTGACTGGTACTCGGGCTTAGTTTAAAGCAACTGCCTCTTGAGTGACCTCCATGCTGAGAAAATAATGAGAATGCTGTTGGCTTGGCCCAAGATGGGAAGCACCAGATCCACCCATAATTAAGTGATTTACCACAGTTATAAAACATGAGGGCAAGAGGGAGTCACTGTGATGGAGCCCGCTAGCAACTAATACGTCAATAGGGGAGAAAGGGAAGGGAGTCAAGTCATACCGCGTGTGAACCGCATGGAGATGAGGCTATGAACAAAGGATGTTAGAACAGCCCTTCCCTAGGTGTGCATATGGGGGCTCTTCTCAGGAATGTGGGGACTGGGTCTTGTGTGTATGAAGAGTGAGGCGAGAGCTCAGGGTAGGCGGTCCACCCAGGAAGAGGGGAGCTGGTCAGGGGCTGGAGCATACAGCACCACGTTCATTTGCCTGACACACTGCCCCTAAGCGAAGTGCTTTTTCCAAGGGAGTGCCCGGTGCTGGTAGAGACTGCAGAGAAATGAACGATGTAGCCAGCAACAGGCAGGTGCTCCCTGCCCACCTCTGCCTCTGATTCATTCTGTACTGCCAGGCGCCTGGCGTTTCTTCCTGCATGCATTTCCCCAGCACGTTTGGCACAGCAAGGTCTGGGATTTTGCATTTGTATTTTGGGGACCCACTGCCCTGTGTCTGCCTTGGGTTAGCCAGCCTATAAGCAGGCAGCTATTACAACCAGAAACTGCAAAGAAACTGGCTTTGTATCCCCAGATTAACTTGGTTATTTCCGCCCTTCTCTCCCGGCTTCCCCATCTTGTCAGTTACTTAATTCTACAGACCCAGAATCCTATTCAAGCTGCACGCAGTGGGACCTCATTGTACCATTAGCTCGTGCCATCTATGTACCATGAGAGGGCAAACTTCAATGTCTGACTGAGGCTGAAGAGCCCCCAGGCTGTAGAATCCCTGTCTAGAGCCAAGCAAGGAGGAGGAGGAGGAGGGAGAGGAGGAGGGAGAGGAGGAGGGGGGAAGGAAGAGGAGAGGAATGGCAGTATGGGCCCAATGTGGTTCTTTGCCCTTTGTGCAGAATGAATTGCTGGGGGGGGGTCACTTCTCTCTGGAATTGGTTGAGACACCCCTTCACTTTGGGGAGGTAAGCCATGCAGGGGATTCAGAGCCTTGGAAGGTGGGTGGAGGTCATACAATGCGGAGCCCCATGGGATAGGGGAGACTCCTCCAAAGAAGACATGAGCTGAAAAGCTAGGGAGCCAGGTGCCTGACATCCAGTGACTGCTTCTCATTTCACGTTCATCTTTCAGAAAGAGAATTCTAAATGCCACCAGTCAATACTTGTTGAATTGTGGTTCAATTAAATGCTCCAGGAAGTCTGATTTTCTGCTTTGTTTTTTTCAGTGTCAGGGATGTGGTAAATACTGGCATGGCTTGGTGGGTGGATTTCCCTAAGAGAGAGAAAGTCCCGGCTCTGTTGGAGAGAAGGGTTTCCACTGTCTCAGGAATCCTCTCTTGTTTCCGTATGCTCGATAGCCCACGAAATCACAGGTGGGATGGGCGAGAGCCTACTCAGGGTTAGTTCCACTGACTTCCCAACATCCTTCTATTGTGAGCCCTCAAGACCCCTTCCCCTAAGCCTGCTAGACGCCCACCCCCGCCCCGCTACAAGAATCCAACATAGACTGCAGCCCTGTGTGGTTCCTCTGCACTGGCCGAGTGGGTGGGGTGGATAAGCGAGCCTCTCAGGACCGCAGAGTTAGTGCGGAGGGGGCGGGGGAATATTTGGGGCCATCAACTCGCTGACCCTGGAAACAAAGTGTTCCCTAAAGAATTCCCACCATTTCCAGGAAAACGAAGGGAGAGTGGACCGTGGCGCCTGCACATCCAGATACACAGAGGGGACTGAGGTGCTAGAGACAGCTAGGAGCGCAGACAGTCGCTTGGGGACTTGACCGTTCAGTCGTTGGTTCTCTCCAATCTAGACAGATGTCTCTGCCCGAGGGCGGCGGGGGTGTAGGAGGGGCCTGACCGCGTACGAATCTGGTCCGCCTCCCCATCGGGTGGTGAAAAAAAACAAAAAAACCCAAACAACAGACACCCCCCCCCCCCGATTTCCTTCTCTGTCTGCGATGTCCCCATCCCCTGTCCCTCCCTAACTTAGGTCTCAGGGTGTGGACTCAGGAGTCCTGTGGTGGCACCTGGCATGTCCCTTCTCCTCTGTCTGGTCTGACTTCGCTTGGACCAGGGCTGTTTCGCAGGTGGCTAGGAAATAAGTTGTCCCCATCACAGACAGCTACCACCTGGACACTCAGGCTCGCAGGTCACACGCCACCATACCTGGGCAGTAGCTGTGTGGACAATTCCGTCCTGGAACATACTACCTTTTCACCCCTGATGCCAGGATATGCACCATCATTTCCACCTGTCACCTCCAAAGGCACAAAAGCAGAGAACTGCGCTCCGGGACCAACACGCAGGTCGCTGGGCTCAGCGCTCTATCCCAGCCCATATGCACGCAGGTGCCCAAGTGCGCTCGTCTCTCCCTCCATCTCCCTGTGACACACACATATGCACACACCGGGGCAACCACACACACTCTCACCTTGCTTTCCACGAGCAGCCGGTTCTCTGGGTTCTGCAGTATCCAGAAGCTTTTCTTTTACCCAGTCCGGCGCGGGTGAGTGCGGCAGCTTGGCTCCTGGGCTCTCAGCTTCCTGGGGCTGGCTCGTGCGGGCCCTTTTGGCATCTGAGAGAGGTAGCCTGGGCCCCGAGAGAGCTAGCCTGGCCTGCAGATCATTGACACCCAGCAGCGGACTGGTGCTCCGGACGCTGGTGGCCTCGCGAGCGCGCCGCGCGGGTGGCTGCACCGCTAGCATTGGCCCAGGCGGGTGGCAGCCCCTGGGCACACTTCCCCACGCCCCCCGCTCGTGACGTCACAGCAGCTTCGCTCCGCCCACCCGGTCCTGTGGGACCCAGTGAACAGAGAGGAGAATCCTGCCGGTGGCGGAGGGCTCCCGGGGAGGTGGGGACAGCGGACCTGATTGCTGGTGAGGGGGTGAAGCAGTGTCAGTGTCCCTACAACTCCTCCCGGTGAGGACCCGCACTGATTTTTCCAATTTCAGAGACTAGGTCCTGTTTTACCCAACAAATTCCAGGCAGCTGGCGCAAGGGTTGGGGTGACCTAGACTCGCTCAGGGACTTTTAAGTCGTGTTCTCAAGTTTGCAAAGCTGTGCCCTACCACGGACCAGTCACAGGCACAGGGCACGGGTTAGAGATCCAGGCAAAGGGCAGAGAGAAAAGGGGGTGAAAACAGCAAGCAGATCTCCCGCTGCAGGCGCCTGCAGGTGTGTGCGCCGCACCTGGCTTCAGTCCCCGCAGCCAGCAGGGGCTTCGCGGGCTCGGCAGGTCTCCCA